ACACACACACACACAAACACAACTTTTATACAAAGGCTTGTTTTAGTCAAATAAAGTAACCCTAAGAAAACCTCTTGATATTCATGATGCAAGCATTTTTGTCAAATCATTTTTACTTTGAATATTATGTTTGAAAATGGTTTAAAAATAAATGGTTCGACAAGTTTTGCGAATAAATGTCACAACTTGTGTGTCTACAAAGACGTTCAAATGATCTTCATATATCACTACAAACATAAAAAAGACACTTTTTGCACTATTTGGTGTTTCTTAGATTGTCATTGAGTAACAAAACAATATATGTTTGCAAAGTTTTAGCTCTAGCATTTCAGAAGAGTATGCAATACCACAATGAATGCCTTCTTAAAGTTCATCTTTGCCCCAAATCTTAGTTTATATCATACGCAAACACTACAACTCAATATCCTTCAATATTCTGGCTGCTTTGGTCTCAATGCAGTAGACCTAAACATGCTATCAACCTCTCTAACCATTAGGCCACGACTTCCCCAAAATGTTGGTTCTCAAAGATGACCCAGGTAGGACACGAACCCACAATAAGGCCTCTTAGTGAAGAAAAAAAAGCATAAGAGTGGCTTTAAATCACACTGGCCAAACATAGAACAATTTCCTTTTTAGTAGACTGAGTGTTTTATTGACTGTATCATGTTACCATGTATAAAAGCCCTGTCATATCAACTGACTAACAACATTCAGTTGAAATGGCTATAATTTTCTCTTCTATAACTTATGTGAAAAAGGAGAGTAATTCTGAATATAATTCTGAGCCGAGGTAATTAACTCTTATGAGTCTTTTAACAGGTCCCAAGTTATTGCTCTTAAAGCCCTAGTGGGGCATACTTCAATCATAGCTCAGCATCACTGTCTCTGTAGCTATGGTTACCGCATCCAGATACCAAGGCCCACACATACAGCCTTTGAATTATTGGGCTCTTAGGAACAAGAACTGGACTGTGAAAAAACCATATTAGATATTTTAATCAGCTTCATTTGTACAGTTTGTACATTTTCAAATGATGTGTTGCTAGAAGGGCTGACCTTATTTTAAATTAATTTAGCAAGGTATAATGACAAGAAGGTTTATGTATCCTTAACCCCTTTTTTCTGTGAGAACAGCAAATATTCAAGCCTTAAAATAATTAATGATTTTATTCAACCGCAACAACCTTAAAAATAAGTACGAAATATTGCACAGTCAGTTGGTAATTATCACAAAATAAACCCAGATAGGGTGATCAGAATTTGCATCATCCTGAATGGAGGTATTTTATGATTAATGATCATCACTGTACATTATCTCACATATTTCTGCTTACTAAATAAATGGACAGTGAGTTGAAATTATTCTGTCATATGAGAATAAAGAGAGTGCAGAGAGATACGACTATGAAACTAGCAGTTTAGGAGATTGATTGCTGGGGAAAAAGTCAAATATAAAGTTTAGAGGTTATACATAAATATTTGACAACAGAACACTGACTGACCAATCAGAATCAAGCATTCTGCAAATTATTAGCTGTGTAATATGGACTGCAAATTATTAGCTGTGTAATATGGACTGCAAATTAGTAGAACAAAAAAAAAAAAACTAAACAAGCACACACACACACACACACACACACACATATATATATTATGGAATTATATATATATACATTATATACATTATGGAAATATTTTTTAGATCTGGGCACATAAATAGACTCAAAGCTATGTTTGTTTGTTTTTTGAAAATCAAAGCATTAAAACTCAAAAATAACACATTTTCCCCCGTTGATTGTTATTACAAGCAAGGGAGGCTGCATCTGAATGAAGACTGATATATGCAATAGTGTTAATGTTTTCACCCACATGACAGTGCACAATCCCTGCAGCTCTTACCTCGTCGTTTAGGTTCTGCAGAATCTCTTTTCCGGTACTTCTCCTGATCTCCACCTTTCGTGGTTTGGAGATATCCTTCTGCCTCTGGATCACTCGACCTTTCCCTGATGACAGCAAGTCAAAGTCCAGTGTCTTGTTCTCCACCGAACCCTCCACTGGGCAGAACATGCCACAGAATTTCTGCCGTGGCTGGTTGGGGCTGGAGCGTCCCATGTTCTGGAAGAACGCAGGCACATCTCCGGCAGCAGACATTTCTCTCAGTGTATACTTTCAGATGGATGCAAAGGCATGTAAACCTCCGGCTAGAGAGCTCTGTGGACGCTAAATGTTAGTTTTTTCCATTGGGAGGTGAGAAACAACATTACATGTGAAGCGAGAAGGTTCCTACACTAGCCAGAGAAATCTTAAAAGAATACTAATGGAATGTAAACATAATTAACAATATAAATAAGAATCCTCAAAGAGGAAAAGAATGAAGTAAAACACTAAAAACAATCCATTAGCATTTCTTCAGGAGAACACATATGATTCGCTAAAACAATACATTTTATTATCCACACCATTCAGCCCTTGCAAATTAATATGCAATTGATCGCAACTAGCTTCAACGAAAAGCCCTTTAGAAAAGATGCCCAAATTGAACAATACAATCTGTTGAACAAGACAAAACACGAAGAATGAATGCAAATAAATGTGGACCATGCAAATGATGTTGTTATTAAACGCAACACATCAGGATTTAATGTTAATATATCTACTGAAGCGATGACAAACATTCAGAGAAAATCCAGAGATGTTACCGTACGTTAGACGCGAGACCGACTGAGGGTGAGGTGACGCTCTGCTGGAGAGATGAGAGGAGAAACAGCGGAAGTGATGCGGGGTTTTGAGGGTTAAAGATGTAATGTGTCCATATCTGAGGGCGCTTTCCCGGATGACTTGTCTTAGTGCCTATTGTGAGATAGGCTACCTTTGTTAGCGTTCGCTCTGTATGTTTGGTGAACACACGTTGGATGTGGTAAACAAAGAGAAATGTATGTTAGGTTTAGTCGTAGAATGGATAATGACTCTTAATTTTTGTTTGTATTTCTTTTATCTGCAGTCATTAAAGAGTCGTTGCTCCGTTGGTTGAAGCGCCACGCCCATGCAGGTTACAGTTAAGGGCGCTGTCCGTTCAGCACCACGCGCTGGAGCCGCGACGAATCACGGAGGTTATGATTCAGTTTATGACTTGGGTTATTAGTGGAAGTTCACACGGGACGAGTTCTTGTGCTCCGTCTGAGCTAGTTTTACGCACACATGTGTCAGATGGGCGTACAGTAGCGTACAGTATTAGGACGTTTGTGTTACGTCTCGTTTAAAGAAGGGAATCGCGAGAAATTTAACCATCCTACTTTTTCTTAACGATCCCTTCCTTGACGGTTCCATTAAGGATTATTTTAGTAATTGTCAGTAAATAAATATTTAGGGGAAAATGTAATTCGTATTGCTTTTACTCTCTGTAGCCAAATTATGAGACCATTTAGATTTCAACAAAAATAAATATAAATATAAAAATTATACTGAAATTAAAAAAAGTTTCTATTATTTTTGCAATAAATAGGCTACATCCTCAGTATGTCTTACATAAAATACTAAATTTACAAAAACGTGGTGACATTAAATGTAATAATTTATTGCACACATGTGTCAGATGGGCGTACAGTAGCGTACAGTATTAGGACGTTTGTGTTACGTCTCGTTTAAAGAAGGGAATCGCGAGAAATTTAACCATCCTACTTTTTCTTAACGATCCCTTCCTTGACGGTTCCATTAAGGATTATTTTAGTAATTGTCAGTAAATAAATATTTAGGGGAAAATGTAATTCGTATTGCTTTTACTCTCTGTAGCCAAATTATGAGACAATTTAGATTTCAACAAAAATAAATATAAATATAAAAATTATACTGAAAATAAAAAAAGTTTCTATTATTTTTGCAATAAATAGGCTACATCCTCAGTATGTCTTACATAAAATACTAAATTTACAAAAACGTGGTGACATTAAATGTAATAATTTATTTATGGTATAAAATACCACTGGTTACAAAAAAACTCAATGTCTAATCAATCAATAACTATACACGTTGTTATTTATGAACAATCAGCCAGTAACTACAATAATTTACCATACAGTAACAGTTCTTGGTTCAATTCGATTCGGACGACATGATTAAGTGAGTCAGATTGATTTAGCAACTGCTCCAATTGAATCATGAGGGTTTTTGAGTGGCTAGAAAGAACCGGCTCATAAGAGTCAATCGTTCAGAAATCGGAATACACTGATCACGTTGTGTTTTAAATCACTGAAAAGATCTGACTCATAAGATTCATTAGGTCGGGAATCGCATTGCACTGATCGATTTGGTTAACTAAAAACGGCTGAGCCTGACATCATTCGTTTCGGAACGATACATTACAAAGAAGAACCATAAAAGAGATTAATTAAAAAGAAAGTGTCACTCGTTGGGGAATCGAACTATTCTGATAATATATAGGCCTAAATTTTTTCGCGCTTTATTCAAAGTAAAAAAAAAAAGCCAAGATGCTTTGCGCACATTTTTCTCACATAGCAATTTTTGCTGCATAAGAAATATTGGGCGGTGGAACATTTCGATGGAGTCACTCATTGGAGACTCGCCATTCTGCTTGCTTCTCCAAAGCAGCCTCACGATAATAGCTCCAAAAGCTCAGTTTCCATAACAACAACATGTGCCCTTACCCGCTCAAAAGAGTTCCTGCTTTAGCTACTGTCTTTGCAGGCTGTTGGATTGAGGGGGAGAATGTGAGAAAGACAGTTTGTGCCACAAAAGGAACAAAAGATCAACCCGTTTCATTTAATTTCTCAGACTTGCATGCACAAAACTGACGCTGCTTAACAGACTTTTCAAAACCACTTCTCTGGTTAACAGGAGTCATATGTGGCTTAGACAACGGTCTTGTTTTGGAGCACAACACATACGCACACAAGCATGCATACTTCAGTCATCATTGACTACGGAACCTCAGAACACCTGTTTCAGCCAATCACAAGACGGCAAATTCAATCACAGCTCCTCCCACTACAGCCTATGCTGTTGCCATGGGTTACTGGGAGGAATAGACTAATCAAACTGGAATATAGAACCTTTTAAAACATTTTAAGAATATTACACTGTTGTTAAATAAAACCTTTTTTACCTATTATTTTAAGTGCAAAATTATTTAAAAGAGCTGAAATTTACAAACATGTGACAAGCTATTTAATTATTTTAAATTACATTTAACCTCGGATATTGGTGTATACTATAGCTGTGTGAATATGGCACACTTACATAAAAAAGATGCAATTAATCATGTCAAAACAACATGCATTAAGATTCATGCCGATGTCACTGAATTTAACCCATCCACTGTATTCTGATCTGATTTGCATCTGTGCTCAATATGAAAACGCCCTGCAGGTTGCTGCAACTGCGGCCTCATCAATCATTTGACTTCTGCAATGCTATTTAAAAGCTTTGAGAGACCTGACAGGGGCAAACTGTGGGGGGGGGGTGTAGTTGTAGGCAACTGTATCCATAAACAGATACCACAACATTTTGTAACACAGATGATGTCGTTTTTCACTCCTTCGTGTTCAGTCAGAATGAGGCACACCCTTAATTTCCCATCTGCGCCACTAGAGGGCAGTCGTGTATCGCTTTAGACCGCTAACGCTATCTAAACTGGGTTACTATTAATTAAGTTAAACCAGGTGAACTCACAAAGGCAATTTAGGCGTTTTAGTGTCGGTAAAATTGGTTATAACCTCTTAGCTCTGGGTGCAGCATTTCACACAAATCAATAGATGAAACTAGTTCAATGGTAAAAGCTTTTCTGCACACTGCTGTGAAACCAATCATAGGACAGATTAAGCATTTCAGCCACAGATACCATATAACTGTTCTTCATAACTAGCAGAGTGGCACTCATTCAGCCCTTAGTGATTTACCATAAGGAGCTTAAGCAACAGACTGAACAATTCACATTATCTCAAGACAGAAACAATGACAGAGCACAAATTTGATAAGCATTTCATATTCACAGTTAAGATGAGGGCATGCGATTGTACACGAAACATGAGTCAAACGTAAGGTGGGCCGGACAGTTGCCAGAATGGTCCAATCTCATGTTCAGGAGTAGCTTTGGTTAACCCTATCATATCAATGAGAAATTAAGCCATACTAATGGGAGGAATGTAGTGAGATCATAATAACTGGGAGTTGTGTGTATTATGACGCATGGTGAAAGGACCTCAGACGTCAATCTATCTGTCTCTGGTGCAGTCTGGCTCCAAAGTAATCATCTCACAAGTTTCTACAACAAGGCTCGGTGTGTGAACTGTAGAGCCGGAGAAGATCTGACCCCAGGTCAAATTCCCAGACGGTCCCAGCTCTGGAGATCTAATCCCGTGTTCCCGAGTGGTTGCTATCATTACTGGGTGGTTACATACTGGCCCAAGCCCAAAGAGACTATGAGCAACAGTTATAGTGATGCTTGACTTAGGACAATAAAAGTATAATTTTATTGAAATAATAAAAATTACTGCTAGAGGTGCACAACATTCTTTTTTTTTTATAGGTAAAATTAACAGTTCCGTTAATAAACATGTAAAATGTGGTTCTTGATTTTCCTTCGCTAAGTCTAAAATAATAATATATTTTGAGCAGATGGGTCAGATTTGGTGGGAAATGTCCACAAACAGAGAAAAGAATCAGGCCACAATGTGGTCAGCTGTGCTACAAAATACCTTGTAGGATTTTTTAAAAATTCTTCTTAGCAGGTCTTTACATGGGGGTCACATTTACCATTGTTTGTCAAATTTTCTCTGTCGAAATCTAGTCATTTCAATAGCAAGCCATGCAATCGGGAATTTTGCATGACAACACGTTTCACACATTTACCTTGGTGTTCAGGAAGTGATTCAGTGAAGATCAGACGCTCCAGAGCAGCTGCAGTGTGTTTGGTGCTGCTGACTGCAGTCATATTGCTGTGTGTCCACATCTATACAAACAGCACGAACTACACAGAAGAGACACACCAGCTACAAACCAAGATTAACAACCTCACAGAAGAGAGAGATAAGCTAGTAACCAAGAACATAAACTTGACAAATGAAAGGGATGGATTATTAGCTAGCATGATGACAAACTGACTAAACAAAGAGCAGTTTAATCAGGAGAGAAATAAACTGGTGAAGAGTCTTCATGAAATAATCTTAAACTATCAATATACTATAACAAGAAATATAATTCATCCATACTTCAGTGTAAGTGGGAATAAATAATTAATAGCTGAACTGGTTGTTGGATGGATGGTTATACTACACTAAAATCCAATAGTTTACTTTACTTAGATATAATTAGTTATCTTTACTTAGTTGTTATACTTGCTAGGTTTTATTGTTACAGCTAATTTCAAGGCGAAAAAAACAACAACTAATTACTGCTTTGAGTGACGGGTACTTAAAGGCAGAGTAAGTGATTTTTCAAAAACGCTTTAAAAACTGATTCGGGCCGAATCGCAAACCAAACTTGTAGCCAAAGGGGCGTGTTTGTTTTGGTGATTTCAAATATAAACATTGGCTACCAGAAATCCCTTACTCTGCCTTTAAAAAAAATAATAAAGTAGCCACAAAAAACCCAGTGACATTAATACACCAGTGAGAGGCAGCAGTGCACTAATTTGTTGTTAATGTACAACAAAATAACAGCAGAAATAAGGAAGGTTAGAGCATGCGCAACAAGCAACGTTTTGAATTTGTGCTTAAGAATGATGACGTTTGGCTCAAGTTAATTGGCGCCGACTTTGCTGAACCTGGGAAAAGAAGCAGAGCGACTGCTTGCATTTTTACCACTGGACAAAGATTGATTCCGTCTATACAAGAATAATAAGGTAAGTTACCAAAAATGTTCTGTCTGCTGCTAACTTTGACTTACTCCGTGTCAACACCGGACGCGAGTGACGCGACACAACAAAAGACATAGAACTCATTATAATCAGTCATTCTATTCACACTGGATGTGGGTATTTGCAAGGCTTGC